TTGTTTATTTTTGCTGTTGCTCTTTTCACTCTTAGCAGGAGTGCCCCTCCATTGCCTTCGATCCTCTTTCAATCACAGAAGTAGTCAAGGTCATGGACATCCCTGGGTTTATCACCTGGGATGCTCTTGGGAAATGACTGATTGGTCCCTACCTTGGCATCTCAGAAGACAGCCTCAAGGGTACAAAAGCTTGTCTCAAGGTTTTAAAAATCACAGTTGCAATGACCCATTCATGCAAGATAAGACCCATGCCTGAAGAAAACTGCCTTTGCTTTTGGCTGCAATTATTTCAATTCATGTGGTCACACTCTCTCGAGTTGACCTGACATTTCAAGCTACAGTTTAATACATTTCTGCTCAACACTAGACAACAAAACAAATTAGTTTTTACTTAATGACCTCATTGTTTGGGGGAGACCAAATTTTTTCAAAGTATATGTGCAGAGAGATTCAGTTACTGGCCCAAAGACACAGAGCTTATAAATGATAGCAGCTGGATTACAACCCAGGTCGGTCTGGCCTCCAGTCAGGACTCTTTCCATGATGCAGGCGCCGAGGACACACTGACTTATGCCATACTCTTCCCATTTGACTCCTATGGAGGTTATTCTTCCCTAAATCCCTTCTTTTAGAATATAAAGTACCCCTGTCTCCCTGCCAACCTCTTTGCCTCCCTTCTGTCTTTGGGTTTAGATCTTTTCATTGATCTTTACTGAAGTTCTTTTTTCAGGGGCTGCCCAATATACCAGCTGGCTGAGATTTTTTTTCCCCATTCTGAATTGTAATGCAAATCACTCTCTAGTGCTCCCCACAGCTAGAATGACTGCCTCGCTTGTCACTGGCCAACAGGCCTTGCCAAAGACTGAGCCCACAGCCCTCCCTGGGAACCAGGTTGTAGGAGGGTGCAGCCAGGGGACCCCCAAAAGAAGGATTTGTGATGGGGTCCAGAACTCCAGAACTCAAGGTGTCCAGGAAATATTAAAAAGATATGTAGGATGTTCTCATTGTGTCCCCCCCCGCCGCATGTGAGTTGGGGGAAGGGACATTTGGAGCAGAGCTATTGAGAGCCGTTTTGCATAGCAACAGCTTTGCAGCTAACCTCTGGCATGGTCACTTAACATATCTCTAACCTTTAACTGGTTTCATAGATATGTTAAATAGCTGTGGCCATGCTTTGAGCCAGGGAGAAGAGAGTGACTTCCACCCAAGATATAACTGGGAAGCAACTCCCCCTGGTTACAAGGCCTGCGTGAGAGCTTGGAGATGGTTGGCTCCATGCCATAGGGCCACGCCTGCCCAGATTTACTAGGGCAGCCCAGTAAAGCTGGAAGGATATGGGAATGCTGGCAAGTGTAGCCGATTGTGGGAGGACTCGAATATGGGGCTGCAGAGGAAGACTGGCTAGGGGATTTAAACCCCTAGACACGGCAGCCATTGAAGGGAGGCCCTGGTGGCTGTGGCAGTGAGGAGAACCACGTGGCTTTGGCCAGAGTCAGGACCCTGCAGCCGTGGGAAGATCACCACATGGCTGGCTAAGACAGAGAACCGCCACTCAGATTTGGCAGAGAACCATGTGGTTTTGGCACAGTGGTGATACTCCTCCCCCTCCACAGCTTTGATGGGGGGACCCCCGTGGCCTTGGTGAGAGTGAGGACCCCATGGCTTTGGGGTGTTCCCTTTGGCCATGTGGCTTAGGAAGGAGGAGAGACTTTACTGGAAGAAAAGGGGAAGACTTTTACCAATGGGCCATGAGAAGGTGCCACATGACTTTGGACTAATTGGAGATCCTGGCAACACAGCTGCTGGTGCTGAGAACTGAGGGAGGCCTACCAGCTGAGCACGGATTACTGGGAAGAACTGGGGGCTGCATGAGCCACGGACTTCTATTTCTTTTCCTGAGATGCGGTATCCCAGACTAGGCAAAGCAAGGAAGGAAGGATTGTGTGTGTTTGTGGGTGTTTTAAGGGACTTTGGGATTTTGATGAAGACATTAAGTCATTACTCTTAAGTCTATATAACTTGAATAAATAACTCCTTCCCTTTTCACCAATTTCTAACATAGAGAGCTATAATTCTCTGGCAAAGGGAAAGGTGAACCTAGTACAGGGAGACCCCAGGAGAAGGGGGGGTCAATTCAGTAACATTTTCCTTTATTTTTCCCTTCCCTGGTGGCCAATCAGGGAAAATCATGGGAGACCACAAGCACAGGAGTTTTAAAGTAATACAACTATTCGTACATTTGCAGTAAAAGCCCACCAAAACTAGCCAGGAAGGATCGCCCTTTAAGAATAGAGTCCCTCCAGCCCATGAGGTCAATCTCTGCTTGGAGTTGGCCTGCTCCCATGTTCTCTGCTATAAACTCTGGGTGTTCAGTTCAATTCTTTGTCCTGATCACCAAGAACCTGGTTACCTGTGCCCACCTGTGACAAGGTGACTGTTGGGCAGGTCAAAAAATCATTTGTTTTTCCTGTAAGATGGCTCTAGTAGTACTCAGTTGTCTTTAACTTCATTTGAAACAATTTTGTTAGGTTGTATTGTGACAGTTGTCACATCAGATGGCATTTAAAAAGAAATCATCAAAATTAGTGAATTTTTGTGTAGCCATTTTAATATTGAAGATGGAAGAAAATAAGCAACATTTTCAGCATGTTACGCTTTATTATTTCAAGAAAGGTGAAAATGCAACCGAAATGCAAAAGGATTTGTGCAGCGTATGAAGAAAGTGCTGTGACTGATCAAACATGTCAAAAGTGCCTTGTGAAGTTCGGTGCTGGAGATTTCTCGCTGGATGATGCTCCATGGTCAGGTAGACCAGTTGAAGTTGATAGCAATCAAATCGAGACACTAATGGAGAACAACCAACGTTATATTATGCGGGAGATAGCTGGCATACTCAAAATACCAAATCAATAAAGTTATTGGTGAAAATGAAAAACGTGCCTTTTATGGAAAATGCTAAAATATTTTTTGGCCAACCCAATAGTAATCTGTCAATCAACTTAGATACACCTCACAACCAAGATATCCAAAATGGAACTCCTAATTTCTCCCTCAGTCTCCCAACCTGCTGTATGGCACCACCATAAATTTTGTTGGTGGTGGGGAGGGCGTTTATTCTTCTCTATTCTTCATCCTTCATATTTTATCTATCAGCCAATCTTTTCCACTACAATTCTAAGACAGATGCTAAATCCATCACTTCCTGCCTTCACCACTGTCATCACCAGGTCTAAACCATTGTCATCTCTCACCTGGACCACTGCAAGAGTCTCCTGTCTAATCTCACACCTGCCTTTGCTCCCTCCAGTGAATTTTCCACAAGACAGCCAGGGTGATCAGCCATCAGAACCAGCATTAGATCATGCCACTCCCCAGTTTAAACACTTCCCTACCAAAAAATAAGCTTCATGATATTTGGGACCCAACTGTCACGTTCACCTCTGTATCCCTAGTGCTACAATAGTACCTAGCCCAGAGTAGGTATACAGTAAATATTGCTTGCATGAATGAAGTAATAATCTTAGTTGCAATTTTTAAAAAGTCTTGTTATTTATATAAAAGTGGTCCTAATTTTTTTTTAGAGTTTTTTCCTTTAATTCTAACATTGCCATTGGTTTTCCCTAGTTTCTCAGGAGATGTCAACATATCTAGACTATAAGCAATTTATTCCTCCCCTTCCCTCCAGCCAACAGAGTCCAAGTAAAAGGAATTTGCGACTTACATGCACAAATGCCTCTCTCTTCAGTTATGTTGCTTGAGAATAGATGGGAGATTATGCTGATTGAACTGGACATTTTCCACTTTTATTATTTTAATTATAAACATAAACTATTGGGGGTAAAATCAAATGGAAATCCGCCTATCAATTTCACAATTAGCATCTCATTTCAAGAGACCAATCAACTTAAATGAGGGCCAGTGACCTTAATCTTTCCCCAAATACAGGACTTGATTCCTCTTATTAGTTGAAAATCTCCAAACTATGAAATATTTGGTTTAACCCCATGTTTGCATCAACGATGCCATTACCACATTTAAATAAGTCAAGAGATTTTTGTGACCTTGGTGTTCTGATTTGTATGGACAAAAGCAGAAGACAAAAGCTGTGCAAATCAAGTAGGAGAAATAACAAGGCCACTTAAACAGGGCCTCTTTTCTCCTTTATTTTTCTAAGACTGTGAAAGAAAGTATGATTTTTAGTGGATTTATTTTGCCACCGATTAGCTAAAATTAACCCAAGAGGAGAGTAAATCCCAGAAGTCAAAGACAGCTCATTTTAATCATCAAGGTCTGTTAAAATCCAGTCAGGAAAAAACTCCACAACATTCTCTTTATGATATAGGAGGGGGAGATTTTTTTTTTTAAAAAGATAATGTTTTTCTTTTCTTTTTTTTTAAGATTTTTTATTTATTTATTTTTAGAGAGTGAAGGGAGGGAGAAAGAGAGAGAGAGAGAGAGACATCAATGTGCGGTTGCTGGGGGCCATGGCCTGCAACCCAGGCATGTGCCCTGACTGGGAATCGAACCTGTGACACCTTGGTTCGTAGCCCGAGCTCAATCCACTGAGCTACACCAGCCAGGGCGATTTTTTGGTTTTTAAAAAGGAAAGAAACAGCCCTGTTGGTTAGAGCACTGTCCCAGTCGCTGATGTTGCAAGTTGGATTCCCAATCAGGGCACGTATAAGAAACAACCAATAAATGCATAAATAAGTGGAACAACAAATCAATGTCTCTGCTCTCTCTCTCTCTCTCTTCAAATCAATAATTTTTTTAATTAAAAAGTAAAGAAACAGAGAAGGACAAATTTGACCTGGCAAACAATGCATCCACAGAACATTGATACCCCTGGAAGGGTCAGAACAAGACCATATACTCTGCAGAGTTAACCCCCTCCTCCCAAAAGACTGAAGGCTCCACCTGCGTAAACATGGGACATGTATAAACGAGTAACAAATAAATATTAGAACCAGAAGAGTACTGTTAATAGCTCTCAGGAAAATTTCACTTTGGAGTAGACTTCGGGTGCATGTGTTGCCAAAACCACCCAAGAAGCATTTCAAGGTCAGCCAAGAAGCTGCCAGTCTTGTCCCTCTGGCTCCATTGATTGATGTGCCTTGAGTAACTCCATTCAAGTCTTTGCTGATGTGACTGATTTTTCTTCAACTTGTCTGCATTGATGTTACTGTCTGTTTGGAATCTCTTTGGCTAGAATTCTTAAGCTGCAAGAAATCCAGCACAAGTTAAGCTTAGGCAGCAAAGGAAAATTCATTAAAAGGATATAGGACTGTTTCCAGGAACTCATGGGCACAAATGGCACCAGCCCTCAACATAGACCATCCTCTGTTCTTCTCAGCACATCTGCTTCTCAGTTCACAGGGCAGAAAGAAATGGCCATCCTTTGCTTCCTAGTTCTAAGCTGGTCTATTCTAGAGACCATTTCAGCCTGTACTAGAATCTTGGGGTCTCAAATTCAGAGAAGAAAGAATCTGAATCTCTAAATGTGGGTTAGGTATCCATCCTGATACATTCAACATGGCCACAGAGGGTGGGTCACAGGGTACAAACATGGCCACCAGGGTTTGTAGCCAAGGATGAGGAAGGCAATTCAGGAAGATCCTTGTGAGCCAGATTGAAGCTAGGGTTATATTGTCACAACCAGAGACAATTGCAATAGCCTAACCCATGGAGCCAAGGCCAAGGCAAATCATTACTATTATATTGTACCTTTGGCCAGAACAGTAGGGACTGTAGCTCCACAACATTTTGGGAGAAGGGCCCTGACTATGCCTCTGAGAGCACCCCACTTTCTTCTTCTTCATACTGTTTATCACAATGTATTAGCCTACATTTCTTGTAAGCTTGTTTAATGATTATCTCTCTCCACCACTTAGCTTGAAGTCCTGTGAGGTCAACCCTGTTGGTTTTACTCATCTTCATCCTGGCACCATGTCTGGCACATAGTGGGGACACACTAAAGAGTTGTTAGATGAGTGAATGGTGAATGAAATGGAGGAGGCCGGGGAAGTTTTTCCAGATGATTTGATATATGAGTTGAGTCTTGAATGACAGGCAAGAGTCTTTTAGGAAAACAAGCAGGGAGAGGGAATGACAGGTACAAAGGCACAGGTTCATGTAATACAAATACCACGGGGACTGAAAGGCACGTTGGGACAAGAGATCTGGCTAGAAAGGGGAGGCAGAGGCCATCTCATCTCAGGAATGGCCTTGTGTAGAGGTTGGAGGTTTGGGAGCTAGAAAGTACATAGATTTTAGACAATGGGAATGCAGGGCTGGATTAGAGGCAGGAAGGTGAGTTAGGAAATTTGTGGAGTCATCCAAAACAGAAAAGAGGTGGCAGTAGAAATGAGGAGAAAAAGATTTTAAGAGCTATTGAGGATGTAGAATCAGCAGAAACTCAAGGAATGTAATTTTCTCCATTTTATTAGTTATTTATGCACATCTTACCTTCCCTACAAGACCATGAACTTTTGACTCTTTCTTCTTCATTCCTGAGCTACTAGGGCTTGCACAATGCCCACCCAACAAACTAAAATAAAAATAAACTCACCAGTACTGAATGATGACCTCTAACCAAAAGTAGCAACAGCATGCTGGGGCAGAGGGCCAAGCAGTATCCTCTGAGGAGTTTCACAGAACCTTGCTGCTTGTATATTCACCTCAACGCCCACCCTGGACTCAAGGTAACATCTCTCTTTAGTGGAGTGAATTGGACTAGACTAAAAAGGAATTGAACAGACCTCCTAGTCTTTAGAAACTACCTGAAATACACACCTGAAGGGGAAGAGGGTGGCTGGCAGAGCGTCCCCTCCGCAAAAGCTGAGGGTCTCTGCCCAGGGCTTCCGGGAGGACAACTTAACCTACACTGGACTGCCCCTCTCAGCTAAGCGCCAGGAGAAGAGAGGATAAAACCCCTTCAGTGAACCAGGAAGAGCTGGAACAGCTGAGTAAAGACCAGAGTTCAAAAGCCTCAAAGAGTCTAGACTAAGCCTAAACAAATTCCATAAGCTTCTGATCTTAGGAAATGATGCAAATGAATGAATGTTCTCAGGAAATATATCATGAATGAATGAAAGAATGAATCATAATAAACTAATGAATAATATTATTCTACCTATTCTAGTAGGTAGAATAAATGAATATTTTTTACCTATTCATGGCAAGTTTTTAAAAAAGAATTAAGACTGAAAATACATAATCTTTAATGAATTCTTGAGCTATTACATGTTACATAAGAATCTATTATTTTCTTGATGCGTACTATTTACCTGCTGGAGAATAGTGTATCTCAATCATTGGCTTCATTTCAATATCAAGTCACATGTGGAAATCATGGAGTAACTAGATCGTGTCATACAGCCCGACGTTCTCTGCCCTCAGGGCGAGCCTGGCCCTTCAATCGTCACAGCAAAGTGCACCTTCATCCCCACTGTCATCAGTGGTGGCGGCCCCCATGGGTGGCAGAAAGCCCAGGGGCAAAAGTAATTAGCCCATGATTATTCAAGCCTGATGGTTGCCCTTAAGACTGCCACTGTCCTAGGAGTCAACATTTCTCTATAATTACTTTGATGCAATTTTCCTATACACACAAACCAGTTTGACTGAATTGAGTATCATGAAGAGGAAGAAGGAAAGGAAACAGAGAAGCCTTGGCTGGCATAGCTCAGTGGATTGAGTGTGGGCTGCGAACCAAAGCATTGCAGGTTTGATTCCCAGTCAGGGCACATGCCTGGGTTGCAGGCCACGCCCCCCAGCAACCGCACATTGATGTTTCTCTCTCTCTCTCTTTCTCCCTCCCTTCCCTCTCTAAAAATAAAATAAATAAAATCTTCAAAGAAGGAAAGAAAAGAAACAGAGAAAGCCACATTTTGTTTTAAAAAAAACAACAACACTCCATTGCACTATAAATATTTTGGCAGGTTTTCTTACATGTTTTTGCCTATGCAGGTTTAACTTGTAACATAAATATTTCCTCACAGCACTGAAAACCTCTGCCCAAACATCAGAGTTAGCAGTTGTGTAGTATTCCTTCAAGTAGCTGGGCCATGGTTTCCTTAATCACTAGCCCCACTTTGGACAATCAGGTTTATCCCTACGTTGCTAAATGATATGCAATGGTGTGATAACTACCCCTGTGCCTAAAGACGTTTTTATACATCAGATTAACTAGCTGGGAGGAATTCTGGGACCAATCATTGAGAGAGACAATGGACACAGCTGTGCACTTTTCCTAAAAGGAGACATAGCCTTTGTGCCCTGGACAGATCGTGAAGCAGGACCAAGACTGTGATGTCTGAGCCCCTTCCAGCTTGAAGAACATGCTAAACCCAAATTCCCCATGATGCACTGCCTCGGAATCTCAGCGGCGGGGCCCAGGCTTCTGTACTGTTCAGCCCTCCAGGGAGGAATCACTGGGCCACATCCCACAGACAGAAATCCCCTGCAGCTGCACAGTTCACGGGAGACCCTGCACGTCGGGACTCTTCAGTGAAAATGAAGCCAATTGTAGGTGACTCAAGGAGCAAAGGAAGACTACCTGGTAGCTCATGGCATCAATGGGGAGAAGTGGCTCAAAAGCAGGTAGAAACCCCGGAAGCCAAGAGGAACCTCAGTAGAACACACTGCCGTCACTCCTGGAGCACCACTTCCTATTGTCCCCACAGTCTCCAGGATGCATCCTGATCTGACCCCTATCCCCGGGTATCACTCACTCCAGAACCACTGCACTGGGCAAGAGCATCCGGTTGGCTGAGCCAGGACCATGTGCCCATGCACACGGGTATCTGACCCCCTTCCTTCCCTCCCGGTATGGGAGGCAGAGCTTTCCCTCCCGCCTAGCTCCCAAATAGGAAAAGTATTAGATACTAGGCAACCCCAGAGACAAATCTCTGCTGCCTACCCCTTTGACCTCATAACTTCATTTGACCTCTGCGAGAACCCTGAGAAGGTGGCAAAACAGTGCTTATACCCGATCTCACCAAAGAGGAAACTGAGGCTCAGAGAGAATAACTGAGTTGCCCTAGTGGTGTTAGAGGTGGCGATGAGTTCTTTCTGCTGCTCAGAATGACCTGTTCACGGTCTGATGCTGAGAAATATTGACAATGAACGTCTCTCGTTTGAGCGATGAGTTATTGGAAGAGGATCAGCTATCACAATCATTAGCTACTGTACTTCATAAACTCGGTGATCTGCACATCATTTGTCTTATTTTGTCATTGTTGTTAATACTTTTTGCTCCCGGAGAAAATTCTGGGCACAGGGAGCTCATCTGTTCTGCCATTCAATGTACTAAATTAACACCTCAATGTGAGGACTGAAACTTAGAGGTGAAAAATCAGGTCCTTGCAGCCAAGACCAAAGATCATTTATCTTGGCCTTGCGTATTAGAAAGACTTTTAAAATGGGATGTTGAAGTTCGTTGGAAACAAAGGTGTTTATTGCCTTGTTTGAAGAACTGTCTTAGTTTGTTTGGGCTCCGTAACAAAATACCACAGACTGGGTGGCTTATACACAACAGAAATGTGTTTCTCACAGCCCTGGAGGCTGGGAGTCCAAGATCAAGGCCGCAGCATGGTCACGCTCTGGGGAGGGCTCTCTTCCAGCTTCACAGCCAGCACCTTCTTGGGGTGTCCTCACAGGGGGACTGAGGAGAGGGAGCTCTCTCAGAACTTTTGATAAAACACTAATCCCATTACTAGATCAAGAGGTACCTAATAATGACCTAATCACCGCCCAAAGGCCCCACCTCCTAATACCATCACACTGGAGGTTAGGATTTCACCCCTAAGGGTTTGGAGGTTGTGGGAAACACCAACGTTCAGACCGTAGCAAAGGACAAAAATCCCAAAGAAAACAGATGGGACTTCTGAAATGTTAGAGCTGTGCTAAATCCCCAAGGCACCTTGCTCTTTCCACCTGGCCTTTTTCTGGACTTCAGATGCAGGCTGGGAGGGGTCCAGGGTGGAGGACCCAGGGAAGTGACATTTGAGATTAGAGACCTTGAGACTGGAAGCCATCGGAGGCTGTATGGAGTAAAAAGCATGGGATGGGGGTGGTGCTCCCATCCCAGGAGGGAGGGAGGAGGCATTTCTGACTTGGCCTCTGGGTAGAAGGACATTTTGACATGGACACAAGTCCTTACTACTTCACCTTCTTTATTACCAGCATATTGTGCGATGAACAACAGCCTTACCTAATTCTT